TGAATGCAGTCTCGATTTCTTTGCCAACACGCACTTGTGATGCATGGAGAAAAAAAGCTCCGTTGAGGTAATGAGTGCAAGGTAAACATCATTATTTGTCTGCATTTACTATCAATCAGAAACAGAGCTGTTATAAGTACTGCGGAAGTGCGAGCACTTTTCTTGTAAGTGTCGCTCTTTCTTGTATTCAGGTGTGGCGCAAGTTATATGGATTAAGTGCCCGCACCTCTGCGGTGCCAATAACAGCTCTGATCTTAAGTTTGAATGGATGCCACATCACGTAGTCTAGGGCTCAACTGGAATCCGTATGATTGATGGTGTCTTAACCAAAAAAAAGGAAAACCGTCTGAAACCCACTCACAACGCCTGGAAATTTGACGATGAAGAAAAAAGAATCAATACAACAGATGAATGCCAATTTCTGCAGTGGAATATTTGGCGCAAAAACAAATACGCCCTGTCATTTTGAACCATTTGCATTAAGTAGGAAGTAGGTTGTTCCAACTTCTATTTGTTGTAATTTTGGAATTGTGCTTCTTGTTTCTATTTGCTTTTTTTCCTTTTCCGGTAATTTTTTTGTTATTTTTTCCGTTTTGTAAATGATGTTGTATTTTATTTACGTTTTATTTCTTACTTTTTTTCGTGGCATTCGGTGTTTTTTTATGTTCCTTCGGTTTATCATAGATTTTCTATGTATTGTTTAAAATTTTTCGAAGAAAAGTCGTGTCAAATTGGAATTGTTATTATTATTGATGCATTTCGTCAAATGCTTTTGTTTCTTTAGCATTTGAAGGTACACACAGGCTTGCGTCGGACTTTTGGTGCGCACGATGAAAAATGTGAATTTCATCTCGGCACGTGGAAGGAATCAACGAAACAAAAAAAAAAAGTTGACTAACGCAAAAAAAATTGTTAAGCAAATACATTTCGAGAGACAAACAACAATGTCGAAAATGTCAACGGTGCAAGAGAGAAAAAAATGATTCTATCACTCAACATTGTATAACTTTTTAATGAAAGCTATGTGAACAGTTTGAAGCCGGCTTATGACGATATGAGCAAAATGTAGGATGTGTAATGCAGGTGATGCGGAACATATCGTCGTTGTTTGATGCATGTTATACAACAATGTTAGTTGGATTAACGAAAACTACGAATGTTTACCATTCAGCCTAATCAACAGCAGTGACATCAAAATTCGTGTATATAACCCAAAGCATTGTTAGCCTATACGGTCGCCTTCGGAAAAACAATGACAAACTTATCTTTCAAATGACCAGAGAAAAACTATTTCATTATTACACACACACACACATACCCCCTCACGTGCGAATAAGCCAATTAATATTCAACAGAAACTAAATGAAACATCTAGAGCGTTGCATATCAGTTGGAGCCTTTTCGAAGGTGTCAGAGATGGACAAATTATAGATTCCATAATGGTAAAACAGATAAATTAGTGTTCGTAAACAAACAATGGTAATTGTTTGGGCTAAATGGCATGAAATTTATGTGTCTCGACTTGATTGTAACTAACAATACCGTTTGTTTGTGTGCATTAAGCACATTAAATTTTGTGCCTTCACACTAAATAAATTAACCGAAAGAGAGAATGTGAAAAAATGGAACCTAGAACAAAAACAACAGCAAAAAAATTACAAGACACGTAAATTGTATGAACTTAAAATTCAACGAGTGATGCGGAAAAGACATCACGTTTCGACTAATCTCATGTGTTACGAAAATATTTGGATTTTCAATTTCATCGAATGTGGACAGAAATTGCGAGGCCAACAAAAATAAGGGAAAGAATGGAACAAAAAAATAAGGCCGAATGGATGAGAGATAGAAATAGAGAGATAACGAGATGGGCAGAGACAGGCAGTTTGATTGCGAAATGTTTGCGTCGGTTGTAAAAATGTCAGATTAACTATATCTGCCTTACAATGAAGAGTGATCGAAGTAGAAGAATGACGTTTGCAAAACGTCATTGCATTGAATAAAAAAAAATGTGTCGTTTTAACCTTGGGTCCACAACGATGAGGCTTACTGATGAGGCATTTTTATTTCTCTATTTTCCTCTCAATCGGATACAATTGTCGGAAATTCCGGTATTTTCTACCATATGTTCATTGAACCTTTTAGTGTTTTAGAACATTGAAATGTTCAAATATTTACCGTCCACTTTTAATCAATAAAAATCCAAGTAGCTTAGAAACAAAGCTTTTTCTCTATGCCAGAAAGTAGTCGTGTTGAATCTAAACAGTAAATTGTAATATAAATTCATTGAAAAGCATGCACACTAATCTCCAAGCTATTTGGTTCGCACGTTCGTATGTCGTGGTGTGTATTTGTTTTTTTTTTTTAAATGTTAATGTCAACATTAAACGTATGTTGACGCCGATAAAATTCGATTTTTTGTTACAAACAAAACAAGCGGATTCCTTCACCCGAAATCCGCACATAAGATACACATAATTCTCATTCCTGAATAACACTTAATTGGATCCATCCAAACTTCTATTTGTACACGATGTGTGTTTTCTTTTCGTTTCCCCTTCGATTTTCTCAGTTTAGGAGTGTGCTAAATGTACTCAGACGACCTTTTGTTTTGATAAACTTTTGGCTCTTTTGTTAACGCACTCCGTTCAACTTTCGATGCGTGTATTTTGATTGTGGCAATTTTTCGTTCGGCATTTTGTGGCAAAGAGCATAGATTACAACACATTACTCAGGCATTATAGTTAAAGACATCGAAAGTGGACCTTTTGCTCAAGAAGTAAATATTTATGGTAATGCGTACACAGTAACTGTACTCGATGAGCCGATGTCAAGCGGGCACCATTTATGGAGGTGAAATAGACAACATCAATAACAAATAGTCCATCTGTCCACATTCATACTCTGTTGTCACAGCTATGTACAGTGTACACCCTCAATACAAATACAGAATGAGAAATAGAGGGAGAAACTGAAATTGAGTTCTAAAACCATTTAATGGAAGATTTACAATAAAAAGTTTTAACATTAGCTGGAATTTCTTTAGTTTGAAATGTGCGCTTTTTCGCCTAAAGACTATCAATGTGAAAAATTAGATAATAAATATATAACGTTGAGTTAATGGTAACCTATTATTTCCACTTCATCAGTGTGTAGTCGCCTCACACGTCGCATTGGTTTTGAAATTCGATCACATGAAATTAGAAGAGAAAAGTTGCTCAACCAAAGCAATTCGAATGCATAAAACATGATACAAAATTAGTTTGAAGTCGAAAGTTTCGGTGGTTAGCAATTTCACGCACTTTGAAACTGAAAACCCCAACTGATAACAACTGACAAAAAATTCGAAACTTTGGTTGATTGAAATCCCCATTTCGAATGGATGAGATATTAAAGTTTGCGGCATACAATGAGCATCGTTCAATTTACCAATCAGGAAATCAATTGAATACGTAAACAAGCACACGCCGAAATTATTTATTCAATTCATAAACCACATTGCAAACGCACGCGACCCGATAAAAATGGTCTATTTGTATTCGGGATGTAGAGCACGTAAATGTAATCCTTTAACTGTTTATCTGACTAAATCTCAGCAAACACACATAAATCCATTTGGTTCACAATATTTATGGAATTTATGGATAATAATACATTCAATATGAAGTGTATTGAAAATTGAGCATTCGCACCTTTTCAGAATGCCATATCGCCGCCTTTATTCGTTATTGATACAATCGATTCGGATTTTATATTTATGTAACTTGAAAGTATCTCCTGGGAAAAAAAAGTCATTCTTATGAAATCATCCCAATGCGAGTTTGTCGTCGCAAAAAACGTTTAATGTGAATAGAAAAGAAGATTTTTTTTTGATGAGCAAACGATTTTCAAATTGAAAAAAAATGTGCCTTTAGTTGAACTATGAAAAGAAGACGAGAAAATATGTTATTATTGCTCATTTGGTTCAATAACTTTGAAAATGTTGTACTTGATTTAACATGAAAAAAAAAATCTCTCAAAGAAATGAACGTTTTTGTCGAAGGAGTTTTACTTTTTGATAATATCATCGCTAAATCTAAGAATTCTTGCCTCAAATCAAATCCAATTTTCAGTCATTTTTTTCCCCTTAACATCACGAAGCACCAAACAACAAGAAGAAAAAGGCTCTTTTCTTTATTGTGAGACATGTGAATGACACTCTTGATGTGTTCGAAATCAACGATGAAAAGCATGCCATTGTTTAATTCCTTAATCTCACATTTCTGAAGGGGATTTTCATTCTGTATGGTTACTTTTGCATAATTTAAAGCCAAAAATGTTTTCGTTTCCAAATTAAATGGAAATCTTTCATCGCATTTTCAGCGCTAAATCTCTAATTGAAAGATTTTATTTCGGCGATTTTTTCGTTAAAAAGGCATGTGTAAATAAAATATTGCCTCTAATCCGTTTTTTCATAGGACCAAAACGAAAATCCACAATTGGATTATTCAGATTCATCGTTGCTCAAATGAATTACAAAGAAAAAAATGCAGCGAAAAAATTCCAATGAACTAAGAATTTTTAACAAACAAAAAAAGTCAAGAGATTCGCTGCTAAAATAATGAAATCATTTGGTATCAAAGTGTGGAAAAAAACGCGTCAAGAATTGTTTTCGTTAAAGAAACATTTGATTTTATCTCGTAAGGGTTTGGGACGTTTGTTGAATGATTGAAAGAAAAAATGCGTTCAACGCGGGAATTTCCGATCGAATGAACTGATATAAACATATCAGCTTGTTCTTGCAAAGCATAAATAACATCGTGGCACCTTGTAGAGGATTGGTTTGAATAGCTTTGTCGCTTTATCGATTTATTTGAATTGCCATCTCATCGACGTCACAAAATCAATGCAATAAAAACAACATACGCACACACGATAAAATAACACTAATCAAGTACATTCAAAACAAAAAATACTTTTCAGTTGAAAATTGAAAATTTAAATGTGTGAACGGTACTTACGTCCATGGCTTTTGTGTGCAATGAATCGTACACCTCGAAATTCGTGCACATGCTGCGCAAACGAACAGGTCGACGAAGTAGATAATCATCAGTTAACTGCGAATTACTGCCTCGCAATCGCATATCGGCCGACAGTTTGCGTTGTTGTTGTTTCATTGTTGTGGCGGGCGACAGTTCGCGTGCCTTACCATTGCGTAAATCACCGTTACTAATGCTGAACCGTTTACGTGGATCAAACTTTTTCTCCGTATCAATGATGCCAACGACACCATTTGGGATTTCTTTCAGCGATTTTTTACGTGTTTCATTGATAACAACCGATACACGACTGTTATCAACTTCATCGCCACTACTCATAATAGCACCATTGCCTTTGGCATTCATCGTTGAACTACAACTGTCCAAAGTTGTCGATGGTTGTTCGTTTTGTTGTTGTTGTTGTTGCTTCTGTTGTCCGCTATCGTCACCATCGTTCGGTCTGATGGTCCGTTTCAATGGGCCCACCCGAAGATGCTCCAACATTGAATTTATGTGTTGGGACATCATATTTCCGAATGTTTTATGCTCAATATTTTGTTAAACGACAAAGTACACTTCCAATTTTCAAATCAAATATTCCACTTCAGCGGAAGTGTTTTCGTTATGGGGTCGGTTGGTCGATGTGATGCTTCTCTGGAACGAATTTTTTTTTAATTTAAAATTTGTGTTCACCTACTTCATAAATGATCCAATTTAATATAAGTATCTGGCGTCAAATGTAATTTTGGTTGTAATAATTCTCACAAATCTTATCAAGCATAGCAAATATTCAACAGGATTTGAAATACGTGAATGCAAATTCGGAAAATACCGTTCTATTTCATAAATAATAAAATCGAATGCCGGAGAAATTCGGAGAATCTTTCTTTCGTGTGTATTTTGTGTCGATTTTTTTCTCTGTCTTATTAAATTTGTATGTGAATTTTGAATTACGACAGCTAAGGTGCTCGCACTTATGTTTTACCACTTGATCACAAACAGTTTAAATATTTCAACGCATTTTGTTTTTCTGTTTCTCTAACACATCGTCCTTTTTCACTTTTCGTTTACGCTCCGCGTATTTTGTTTTTTATGTTTGATTGCGATTTTAATTAGATTTCAATTAATACAAATATTTCACTGTATACTTTTGGTTCGTCTTTTTTTATATTTCGTTTGATTTTGCCATTCGATTCCCGTTATATTTTTTTTTGTTCAATGACTCTTAATTTGTGAAGTCTCTTGATTCTTTTCTTTTGCTGTCAAATATGTACTGAAAACGATCTTGATTCAAATGAAAATGATGTTCATTTCTATTATTTACACAAAATAAATATTTAGACTTAAATTTTTTTATTCAGTGCGATGAAATCATGCAAAAGGTATCCTCAGAAAGTAATACAAACAAAAATTCTTAAATTGTGTTGTTTAAATCTTTAATATTTGATGCATTGAAGAGTGGGCAAATAGAACGAGATGCGTTCATTGAATCATATTTCAACTAAACAAGATTTCGCATTTCATTTTTTTGCACAACGAAAAAATGGTTCAATCTTCAAAGAACGAAAATTGTTTCAAAATTAAAGAGACTCCGCCAAAAATGTGACATTTCACCTATGCGCCCCATTGAGCAGTTCGATTTTTATTAATCATTTAAGAGAATTTTTTCCCAAATTAAGCATAGAAAAAAAATTGCATGAAAAATGAACTGTCATGGTGAAGACAAACAAAAGACGGGACGGTTTTTTACCATTTTATCGACTGTGAAATTACGTGGAAAATTTATTTCTTTCTCTGTGTCTTTCTCTCTTTGCCACTTCGTTAAATTTAAAACCACATTATCACGCCAATACAAACGCTTAACGGAATCGACAAATTTTTATGAAAAACAAGGAGACGAAAAAAAGGAAAACAGCGTGCTGATCAAAACGCCAACGTAAAAATCTAAATCGTTAATCGATAATCACGTTGACATTAAATAAGATTCAAATAAGTTATTTACGAGAACGACATTGTGATTTATTTAAAAGATATTCGTTTTTATTTTATTACTTTTTAAATGCACTTGGGGAAACAACCATTGACATGCCGAAAAAGTCGCATTTTGAAACTGAAAACGACATCTTCTTTAGTTAATGTCCAACCTTTTGGCCGCGAAAAACATAAAAACTGTTTAAAGAAACATATTCAAGGAACAATGATTTTGAGATAAAAGTATCAGTGGAAGAAAATTAACAAGAGAATTTGTGTTATGCAGGCGACACAGATGCCAGACGAAAACGAGCTTTTAATTTATTCAATAGGTGAATTCTTGATGTTGATGTTATGTATTCAAAAGGCGAAGGCATTCACATCGTAACGAGGTCCAACATTTGGTTGTTATTGCTAAAATTGTACAATTTTATTGCCCCAGCCCACAAATTTCTCGAAAAAAAAAACAATTCAGCTACAATTGTTATGGCTCGTTGTTTTGCCGTGTAAACATGGAAACTGTATGTGCACAACGTACACGGTATACATGAATGTTGAAGCGGCTTGTTTTATTTTATTAAACATGCTTTTTAAATACACTAAAATGGTCATTCTCTCTTTATCATTCTCTCTGTGTGTATGTTTTATTTGTACAGCACCAAACATTCCAGTCAACTTGTTTATGATGATGTAAATAAAGAATTTATCAACAATGCTACATTCTGGGGCATTTAGTATATTTATCCGGTTGTGGTGTCAGCATTTTAAACTGTACAAATATGCTTGGCAATGATGATGATCATCTCCTACCATCATACTGTATGAAAAATGACGAAGGAATTTGTGATGTCATTTACAGGGATGCGGTGTGGATGTGGTGCATGTTTTCCATAATGCACAATCAAGCATAGATATTCACATGAAATCCACAATGCAAGCTGTTAAATTTACGTAGGTTTATGCGTTGGAATTCTTGAGATTCATTCGAATGATCAATCTACCAGTAAATTTCCTCACTTGAAAGTGTTTGCCGATTCTTTTTTTGTTTATTCGACTTCTAAGCTTCATCGTCGAATTTAGTCACATAATTTCATAATAGTTTTGTTAATTATGGCAGATAATGAGATTGTTCAAAATGCGTATGAATTTTAAATGCATTTTCCTCTTAATTATTTCTCTTGAACGCTCTCGTTCAATACATGTTGGCATTTTTTAGCGATTTGAGCAAAATGCAAGCATTAATGCCTTTAACATTTTAACATTTGTGCAATGCACGCTAAACAAAAAGCAAGCACTTTACGGTATGTGAGGGTTGTGCAGCTGAACTGCATATACATATAAAATGATGCACGGTTTTTGTGTGAACGGTATCGCCCCAAACGCAGCATATTTTCACAATTATAAAGTATGTTTTGGTAGCTGAAATCAGCGTGCCAAAGCACTGCAATTTATCTGAACATGCATAATATGGGCAAAAGCACACAGAAAGTGTGCTCCACAAAACTTCAATTTACGTGAATGAACGAACGAACAAACAAACAGACGAGAGAGGCAATGGGATTGTGTTTATGAGACAGCAAACAAAACATTACACCCCCGCTGATGCAACAAAAAAGGCACAGCTCTGAATAAAACAAATTGTGTGAATAGTGTGTCAGTGCACACGGAATGCTGTGAGTTGCTGTAGAGACATAACGCGCGAGCATTCACACACACATATACAATCGAATACTTGGTGAAATCGAGAAAGAGAATGCTGAAAAACATAAATTACTCGTTGTGCTGGGGGGCATTGAGTTCATGTAATTATCAGCTTTTGTAATTATATCGACATATGCAGAACATACACACTTGACAGAGCACCATTCATTTTTCTGTTTGATGCCACCTTTGCCATCATCTTTTTTTTTCCTTTCTGTTGCACACACAACCATATTGCTTAATGTGAAACGTAGTTTTATACATTAAGCTATGGAATAGTAAGATATATATATATATATATATGTTTGTTCAGTGATTTTAGAGAAAACCAGAAAAGATAGAGAGTTCGGGTTTTCGGCATTCGATAGGGCATAAAAAACCCTCCAGACGTATTTTTTATTTTCCCCATAAGTGCTCCCCATCTAATTTTTTCATTCATGGACCCTCTTTTTTGGATTCCACTTTGAAAAATATTTCGATTCCTTTCACCATTTATTGAGTGGATAACATGGCCTGGAAATGCCTATGTAATTTACATATAAACGAGTGAGACTCAAACATGTTCTTCTTTTTCCATCAAATATACCAGTGGCGCCACCAATTTTACATATAAGCGCATACAAAATTTTCAATATGGCTGCGCCCATGAGAGAGAAAATTTCGTCTCATTCATTTCCGCCCCATGGTGGATAACGAATGGATTCGGGTGGAATTATTTTTCTCCGCAACTTTATTGGGTGGATAAAAGATGGAATAAATGAGTTTTACTTCAGTGTTAATTTGATTACTTTGGATCTAGATGAAACTTGTTGAAAAAAAGTTGGAGACACCCGAGGTACCAAATTGTTTTAGATTCCTTATAAAATTACCTTTCGAATGGTATATAAATTATGGAGTTTCCGGCAGGTTTGATGGCGTTTTACGCTGGCCGTTTGGCCGAAATATGAAAAATTGTGAGAAAAATCGGCTTCCGAATCTCATTGCAAGCAACCTAGTTCTATGATTTTGATGAAACTTTGCCAGATGATAGCTCTTGAAGCCCTCTTTCCAACGGTATATAGCTTATTAGCCAATCAAACTTGTGAATGTGTTTCCCAGGTGGCCGTTTGAGGCCAAATTAGTAAAAATATTGGCAAAATCAATTTTCAAGGTGTAATTTATTTTAAAAAAATTGTGGCAAAAAATTCAAAATATGAATGTCGAGTAGTTTGTTTTTCTTAGTAGTACGGTTCCACGCTACCATCACTTACAATGGCAAATAATGTAAAAAACTGCATGATGGCGCCATCTCTATGTGCTCATGAAAATTAGAACAAAAAGTTTGTGTAGAATGTTAGTTGTTTGAAGTTTGAATACGGAATCATTTGTTGTGACGTCTGTCATTTTACGCTCGATAAAGATATACCGTGTAAATTGAACAAAAACCGATTTATTATTTGTATTTGGTGAATTTGTGATGGAAAATAAATTGAAATTACTTTGCACAGTTTGTGTCATCGAAATTAACTGCGAGGACGTTGCATATCACATGGTTTTTCTTCACACAAAATCAGTTGACATTTTTGACTTTTTCGCACCAAAAAAAAATGTTTTAATTGCCTTTGGTGCTCGTTTGGATCGCGAGTTCAATGCCAAGCACATAGAGATGTCGCTCGGAACGTGAAGCTCAAAAAAAATATACAGGTGATATAGAAAGCAAGTGAGGGTAGGTTCCACGTTTCGCATTAAGCTCTACGGCCAAAAACTGGCAGTGTATACTTAATATGAATGCAACGGAAAAACAAGCGAGCACAAAAAAACTCATCGTAGAAAAGAATTGTTTTCTTCAATTCGTTGCGACGAGATGCATTGCCACTGAAAAGCTTTTAACGTTTTTAACTTAAATGGCAATTTTCGACTAAAATACGTGTACTTTGTTCGACGGGCATTATTTATTTTAATATTTTTAATGCACCGCTCATCAACTCAATGGCCTCAACACTTTGTTGTTTTTATTGTGCTCACTTCTTTTTCACTTCATCTTTGTACGATCACGTAAACAATAGAAAGCAGAAAACCGTTGTTTGAAAAATCAATGTACACGATATTTTGGAGTTTGTTAAGAATAAACGGTGAACGTTCAACTGCATATATTCTGATTTTGTTTCTATTTCTCTCGCACATCAAATAATGGGGCTAAACGTGTATGCGTATGAATTGCTTTGAACTCATGTGGCCCGACAAACTTTATTGCAACAAGAAGACGCGTTGCTTCTAGTATTGCATAAAGAAGTATTCGTTCGTAAATAACGTGTACATTTTCAAAAACTTTT